AAAAAAAAGACTATAGTCCTTTTTAGTTGTTTCAACACATCTTTGATATTTGATGTTATTATCCCTGAGTCTAGGTTGTATCAAGCGCCATTATTGACAAGTATATTGGTGAGAGTGCGAGATTGATAAGGGAAATGTTTGGTTATGCCCGTGATCACCAGGTTGGAACTTTGAATTTTATTGAGCACTTTCACATTGCACATTAATGTTTAAAAGCATACCTAATTTTTTGACTCTGTGTCTAGCCTTGTATCATTTTTATGGATGAGATCGATGCTATTGGTGGACGGCGTTTCAGTGAAGGGACCAGTGCAGACCGTGAAATTCAGCGAACACTCATGGAGTTGCTTAACCAGTTAGATGGATTTGATCAGCTTGGAAAGGTATGTATATTTTCATTTAGATCAAGCCTGATTTATTTGGTTTGATCATAACAAACAGATGTAAGCATGTTTATCTGGTCATGCTTGTACAAACCCACGATGGATATAAGTACATCATGTCTTGGCATGGATGATGGAAGTTGATTAATTTCATTTATTAGGTGAAAATGATCATGGCAACCAATAGACCTGATGTCCTAGATCCTGCGCTTCTCCGCCCGGGGCGTCTAGACCGCAAGATAGAGATCCCATTGCCTAATGAGCAATCAAGAATGGAAATTCTCAAGATCCATGCTGCTGGGATAGCGAAACATGGTGAAATTGATTATGAAGCTGTTGTGAAGCTTGCTGAGGTGAGCATGATATGGTTGTCTGTATCAAACAGATTGATTTACATCCTTTACCTAAATGATTTCAATGTCTTCGTTTTAGGGCTTTAATGGAGCTGATCTCCGGAACGTTTGCACTGAAGCTGGGATGTCTGCAATCCGTGCTGAGAGGGATTATGTGATCCATGAAGATTTCATGAAGGTAACGTGTTAAATACAATATTGCCTTTAGATTCTATTAAACAATGGTGAACAATGAGATGGAAATGAGCTTTTAAACTACATGGGCTATGGTGTCAGTTATGTGCTTGCTTCCCATGTTAACAATCGGTGATGTTCATTCCTGAAAATTAATGTAAATCCAATGTTAACAGTCACTGATGTCATATCATTGTTCAAACAACTAGAGATGAAATCAAAGAATATCGAGGGCTGTGGTTAGGGTTGTCTGCTTCATGTTGTTCTGGGTCACAATTTGTTTAGGAGCTGCTTTACCATAGACCCCTGAAGATAGCCTCGGGATACACTTTATGTGCTTTAACTTTACTTTTTGTTAACTATGGAAAAGTAATCACTTTAGATCTTACGAAGAATTTACAAGTTCAAGAAAAATACATTAGTGCCTCTGAGGTACCTTTTTCTATTTTTGGGTCCAATGGCTTGGTTGGGTCAATCATCTATGGGGTTTTGAGTACTGACTTGTTTAGGAGTCATCGAACCCAAGACCTATTCCTTAATAAATGGAAATAAGTAAGACTCTGCTATTAGGGTCAGATGTTTATCTAATGCAAAGTGGCATCAATTTTTGTTTCTGTACATAAATTTTTCTGCTTAGTTATATCTGTCTTACTCATTGCGCACTGTGTATACAAATAATGAGTTGTGCGCATCTTGATTCTAAATTTTTACATATAAATATTTTATAATGTTTCAGGCTGTACGAAAATTAAATGAAGCCAAGAAGCTTGAATCTAGTGCTCACTACAACGCCGATTTTGGGAAGGAATGAACTTGAATTTTGAAACTACCGAAGAGTTATTAAAGAGTGAAACTCCAATCATGTGCTCTGTTGTGCTGTATTTTCTTTATGAGATGTGGATGGTGGTACTGCAATTTAACTTCCATGAATGTGTTTACCACAAGAGGCACACTATGAATTGTGTTATGAAGAAACATTTAGACAACATTTCATTATATGAGTCTTATTTTCAGTATTACGATTCTCGCGCTTTCAATTGCTCGTCGCTTAGTTTACTGTGGTTTTAAGATGTCTTTTACAGCGGATATTATCAAAATTTGGTCCATGATTTATCCCCTTATGCTAAATTTCTGATTGTCTCTCTTTTTAACAAACAATTCATCTTTATTGATGAATAATAAAAGCTTCATGGTATGCTGTGTTCACCCCAATCGGTTGATCTATCGACGGGTTTAGCATATTTAGGAATCCTTGTATGCATTCCAAAATTCCTATTTCTGATTGTAATACTTTTGTTTATATTTATCCTCGCAATGAACTTGTGGCTTTTACTTGTGGAATTAATAAGCCATGAATTTTGCTGGGAATTTTGATCATGAATTTTGCAATAAACAAATCCCTGGCCAATATGTCCAATATTCATAAATTCAAACCGAATTGTGATTACCAAACTTGATTCCGATTTAACACCTCGTTGCTTGAGATATAAGCATTCTGTGTCTCATTGTGCATCTCTACTTCAGGCAACATGCTGCGCCAAACTAAGAATCTTCAGATGCTTTTTCTTCCGCAACTCATGCGGGACGGGTCCAAATACTCTAGTCCCAAGCGGCTGCCTACTGTTTTTGTCAACAAGCACCACAGCATTGTCATCAAACTTGACCTCGCTCCCATCACAACGGCCTCGTTGCATGGCAGCACGAACAACCACGGCATACACCACGGCTCCTTTCCCCGTTATTTTCTTCTTCTCTTCTTTCTGATGTTTTCGCTCGATCTCGGCATTGAAATGATGTGCCTCCGTTATTGAGCAACGATTGTGTCTCCCAATCTTGCCCCCTTCTTGCTTGCATTCAAAGCTTGTATGCACCTCACCTTTTTCGCCCCTGAGTTGTCTGCGACTTGGAGAATAGTCCCCATCTGTATGAAGGTCCTTTGCTGCTGTAAAAGTGCACAAAAACAACAAATCAAGCTCCTGTCAATACTAAGTAATAAACGAGTTGATATTTTATCTAACCACGATTCCGCCAACAGCGTCTAGCCTAATTAAAAAAAGCCTTGACTTGTAGTCTAGTGGTCTCGAGTTCGAAACCAATGGCGGAATCAGGAATTTTTCGACGGGTGGGCTAGCTCAAATTTTTGGCTAAAACAAAAGTATACATTAAATCATATAAATCATGCAATTTAGAGCTACATTGACTAATTTCCAATAAGATTTAACATAAAACAAATACATATTAGATGCAATAAAAAATACATATTATTAAAATGAATATATGTTTAACAACATAATTGAAAGTGTGTCTATGGACTTTGTGCCCTGAGATCCTTGAGAGAATTGAAATTTTTTGTTATTGTCATATGAACCCATCTTGTTGCGAGTCAACCTATCTATCAAATGATATCTTTGTGACATTTTCGTTTCATCTTATTCGTAAAAGAGTGAATTTTATTGAGACAAATCTTTTTCTTATGGAGACAAATCAATGAAAATATTAAAATTGGAGAGTTAGGAATAAGAATTTTACCAATTAGACTTTCATAACAAAGAATACAAAAAGGAGCATGTATTTTTTTGGACCGCTACTAGGCTAAGTTTCACATGTATATTTTGTATTTTGACAGTGTTTATTATAATTGAGGATACTTTATTATGTGGAACCAATTAGGATATTTATTTTTTTATGTGGGACTTTAAACTTGCATACTTCTTTACATGAGAAATTGCCAAAAAGCCACAAGATGATAGCCTCAGGCAATGGCTATATAGGTTTAATATTTTCTTTTCCAAAAAGCTACTTGGGCTACAACCTAGTGTAGCCCATTAGGTAGTTCCGCTCGTGTTTGAAACCCCATGACGTCATGGTAGTGCATGTGTGAAAGAAATTTTCCTCCCCGTAATTTAGACTATCATACTAGAAAATGATATATATTCAAGATTTTAAACATCTAGTAAAGCATTTTGTACGAAAACCAAGCAATTTTTTTATTCTAGTAAGATTTAATCCTCACTTCAACCTAAACGATCCTACTAAAGATTCAATGAATATATTTCCCAATCACAGTTATAATCTTCAAAGAAATATCATATGCACACACTGACCTGAGACAAGAAAGGGCTGCATGTCATATCATGTGATGTCCTCAATAAGCCAGACAAGTTATTGACAAGCCCCCCCATCAATGAATGACCCACTAGGGTTTGTTTCCAGAAGATTGAATAGATTGCAGTGAGTAAAATAGGGAAGAGAATAATTACAGAAAAAAAATACTAAAAATTATCCAGGAAACTGAGATATAATGTTGGATCAGATAACTAAATCTAAAGCATCCGTACTTTTTTGATATCTCAGAAAAATTTCATAAAACTAAACAGATATATGAAATTTCAAGAGCTGGACAAAATTTGGATCAGATAACACAGGCACATGATTTTCTGATGCCCTAAAAACATCTTAAAGGACGATATTATATTCAGAAATTTGGACAACATTATGTGAAAAATATCAATGCTAATTACAGACCTATATAATGACAGAATTGTTACACCACTAGCAAATAATTGTAGTGTAATATGAAAGTTGACTGTATTTTTCGTTCAAAATTTAAAATCGAAAACCATTTATCGCATAGACTGCGCGGTATATGCGTACATGATCTGTACATATACTTGTACATCAAAATTCAAACAAGTGTACATATGAATACCCAAATACAATCACTAACAAGCATAACCCCCCAAAAAAAAAAATCATAAATAATACGAAGTACGTATAAAATGAGCAATTATGTACTCCCATGGAGGACAAATATGACAAAAAAATATGCAATTTCTAACAAAATTTGATCTAGACATGTAGAAAACTTATATTAAAGACTAAATTGGGATGCATTGTAATTTAGATACTGAACAGAAACGATTGGTAAAAACCTTTTTAATAACACGAAATTACAATTAATTGGTTTTGTATTCCCCAAACATTTATACAATCAATTGGTATTTGGTAGAAAAGTTTCGTAAAGAAAAAAGTGAAAATAACTCATTTAGAAAATGTGGAAACATAGATCTTATGCTTAATGTAAGGAGATAATTGCTCGTGGGCTGTAGCAACACAAAGAGCCCTCGATCAAGATGGGTGAAGAAATACTTCTGTGTGTGATATTGAGCAGGGGGCCTTTCTCACACACAGGAGTGTTATGGAGTTCGAAACTGAAATCATTGGTATGCAAATCAATGTACTTTTCATTGAGCTAGACCCGTTCACATAGTTTGAGGTTAAATAAGCTTGAAAGGGCAAGCATTTTTTGGCTCCACGATCCAATAAATTCGAGCAACTTCACCAACTAACTGCCCACTCTCCCTGTCTAACTCAGTTGTTTTTTTCTTCTTCTTATTTTAGGCCACATAAGACATTTTATTTAGTTTGTGCAAATCAGTTCTCACAGAAAGCTTGTGCTTTGTTGATTTTTCAAAATTGAAGATGCTCCATTTTATAGAGAAATATTGCGTTTCTGAACCTGCCATGAGAGTGTTAGATGATTCAATTCAAGCAATATATGATGGTTTGCTTGCTAGAATTGAATCTTTGAGCTGAATTATGTTTCGATTATTTGAATTGATAAGTTTGATGTTTGATTTCTTTTGTTTCATATGTACATTGTTTAGAGTCAAAAAGAGATTTGACTGTGTTGATACAAGTAGAATGCAACTCCCCACTACTAAATTAAAATCAAAACTTCATTAACTCAGGCTCTTTCTCTCTCTATATTTTCCGACGGAACATCGATGAGTTGTACCTCTAGCGAACTTTTCCTATGGTTTGAAAATTCAAGTGGAGTATTGCGGAATACTCTTAATAGAAAGTCACCTGAGTATGAAATGAGCCGTTTCTATGAGAATTTTGTTAGGCTAAATTCTCTAAAGCACTCATGAATACCGAGAGTTGTCCAGGGGCCACAAAGACACAACCTAGAACTAGATGTGTATGGTGAGGTATTGTGTGAGTGCTAAAGCCTGGGTTTACACAAACAGTTGAACAGTTCAAGACATCACATTTACCGATTAGCCAAGTAAATTCAATGGTATTTCGCTAGGGATGGTTCAAGGCCAAAAGCTACCTATACTGATGCAATATCTTTCTAATCGAACTTTCTCAAGTGTTTGCATTTTTAGTTTTGCATATTGTTGAGCCAATTTCCATTTCTGTGGGGGTTTGTTGGAAAATTTATTAAATTTTCCTTTATTAAATGGAAATTAAATTCGGATAGATGTGACTCAAGTTTGAAACAATGCATATCTTAAATCACATACTTGAGGAAATGACTCTTCATTATTTGTAAACAGAGAAGTCCACTACATCATTTTGATTAATTCCATTTGTATGAGACATTCAAACACAAGTCTGCATTTGTTGTTCCACTGGTTTGGAGTGCTATTATCACTAGAAAGAGGTCGTTGTATTTTGCGTGACATTTGCCATTAAAACCTTAAAGCACCAGTGAGGGGCAATGGCGTCAATGATTTTCAGTAAAAACTAACCAAAGGACTCCGCTCCTCCAAAGATGTCTTGTGCTGTTTCAGTTCATGCAACTTCATGTTCTGGTCCCACCAAAACCTACTGCCTCCACTCCCCGCCTCTGCTGACGTCTCCTTTGTCTCCTCCGTCACCAATTCCATGCGTCCACGGCCAACTCGCAACGAAAGGCTTTCTTTATTTGGAGCCAAAATAAATTTGGTTTTCCCCACCATCTCACTATATTCCTACTCAAGAAGAAAAGTACAAAAAGAAATAACAAATATAAGGCAATACGAAAAAAAAATATGTACTTGTAGAAAGTGTATCTAACTCTCTCCTTTTTCTTGGATTTTCTTTGAAAGGGGAATTTAAATATATCAAACGAAGCATCAAGTCATGCTATTGCCATTTTATCCTGTTAGAAAATGCAGAGTTTTGTGAATAATACATAAAAAGATCATGCTTTGCAATAAAATAAGTATTTCGTGACACTTGAGTGAAACGTAATTTGATTCCAACAGAATTGTCCAATGGTGACTAGGTTATCTATGATGATGGATGTTAAATTATTTTCAGTATCGCTGCCATAGATGTACTCACAAGGGGGAAAAAATACTCAATGCAAACAACTTCACGTCCACCCAAAGTTGTGATACACTTATGTCATAATTTGAACTATTCATTTCTTAAATCACCATTTAAAGATCATCTATGCACAAATCCGATGACGAAATTGCCCCAAAATACGATTACGTATTTAATTGGATTTCTTGATCTGGTCTTGGCCCTCTAACATGATTACGTATTTAATTGGATTTTCTTATCATATTTTGTTTCTTATGCGTTTAATGAAATATCATCTTTATAAAAAATTTATAAAAAAAAGATCATTTGTGCACAAAACCAATTAAATTGAAGATCGTTTAAAATAGGCAAAAAGTCATTTTTAGTGCCTGTAGTTTGCCACTTTTACAATTTGTCTCTGTCGTTTCAATTTGGTCAATTTTGCCCCTATGATTTCAATTTGAAGCAATTCAAGTGCCATAAGGCAATTCCGTCAAATTAGAGGAAACTGGTGTTACTTATTGAGGGGCATTTCGGTCAAAGAACAAAGGCTGGAAAAACAAGAAAGAGAAGGGAGAAAAAAAAAAGGGAAAGAAAAATGAGAAGAGAGAAGACTCAGCCACACCACCACTCCCACCAGCCCACATGCGGTGCCAACCACCACGCCCCCATCTCCCAAACCCAGTCAAACAACGAGATACCTTTAAACAATGATGCTTTGAGTTGAAAGATGATGGTTTACCCTTTGCAACCAAAGCATCGTTGGACAGATGCAGTAACATCTGATATCAAAGATTTCCATTTTTGTTGTTGAAGCAAATTGATTTATGAAGGACGACTATTCTCATTAAAAACTGATGGTATCAATGATTTGTGTTAAACTCAAATGTATCATTCTACATTTTATCACTTTTCTAGCTGAAAAAATAAAATAAAAATTAGTTTATTGTTGAAGAAACATACGGCAAAATGAGGGCACTTTCGGGATCTTTTATTTCACAACTAAAGCTGGGGCCGTGAACAAATGCCAGCAAACAAACCTACCCTTGCAAACGAGAATCATACAGAGAAAATAAATTCAGCTCTCCACCTTTTGCATTTCAATTCTCACCCATCATTAATCCACCTAGCTCCCTGATGTCATCTTTGGCTCTTGGTGTATGAACCTTAAAGATTCGGAAAGACAAACCGAAGCATCGTACCATCCTCCGTATGATAATGGGCAATGCAACTATTCATTGCCATTGTAATGAATCTAGAGCTTGTTGGTGAATCTGTTTATCTCCAGCTGCCACTACATTAAAACCTGGGGAACAAACCAAAACCCATTTGCCGATTTATGTAAATCTTGCAAGTGCTATATGGCACATTAATTAAATAACAATATTAAACTACATAACTCAAATCATCATCAATATGACCCCAATCCAAAGAATTTGGAGAAAAGCTTACTTGTCACATGTGAATTTGGAGAAGCTTCCCAATAAAGCTGATGTCCCTTCCAATCAGTAATAACACCTCCAGCACCTTCTATCACGGGTATCAGTGAAAGAAAATCGTATGGCTGACAAAATAGCATGAGATTTTTGTTAGATAAAAGCAATGAATTCTATCTAATACAGTTGTATCATTCACAGATGACAAATGCAACGATAGTTATACATGATTGCAGACTTGACAGCTCATTGTACCAAATAGGCATTAAAGTGCAGCAGAAAAGAAAAATGCACATCTGTAGGTAACCTAGCATCATCAGAAATAACAAGTCCCTTCTGTTTTATGTTTCCCCTCTAGTTCAACCAGAGAGTAAGATACAATAGCTACCACTCATGCCATACACTAGGCATCCCCGGATTGTTCTGCCCTTACCCTTCATGGGGAATGAGCCATTTTCATGGCCAGACACTCCCAAGAGAAGAGTGCATCACTGGATACATTAGTCATATATATAATTTAACAACAAAGAGTTCAGCTTACCTTGAGACCAGATTCAACAACAAGATCCACATAACCAGAAGCCAGAAGAGCATAAGCATAGCAGTCACAGCCGTACAGTGGTACTTTCACCTGTAGGCCAAACATGGAATTCTTAATATTCTTTCTATTTTATAAGAAACACAAATATCAAATATTAAAGATGAAAACAACTGCTGGAAAAGATGTTGGATTGGACCTAGGAGTCAAATTTCACATTAAATTTCCAAATGTTAATCACATTCTAAGAAATTCCGCTCACATATCTGTTTTAGTAAAGTTATTTGATCTCAATACTGCTTGGCATCGAGTCACAATGCAAAATTGGGTCAGATTATCCCCAAAAGCATAGGAACACCACAAAAAGTAAAAGACTTGGACAAAGCAAGGACCAAAACAGTAACACTGCCCAACTTTTGTTCTCCCTTTTTTCCTTTCAGGTAATCCTTATTGACTGAGTCTGATTTTCTCCCATAGATCATACATTAAAAGCATGGCAGTATTCTTCATGTCACCTAATGTTGAACCCCGATCTTTATGGATTCATTAGAACATACCTTATTTCTAACACGAATAAAAGCCTCTTCTGCCTCTGCGCTGAATAGATGTGGGCTTGTAGTGTACCTAATCACGGGAATAATTAAAACAAATAAGAGAAATCCCGAATGACAGAGACAGAAAAAGAAAGTTATATGTCCCGGGCAAGATCTGGATGCCAACAAATTACTTTCTCACAATAAAGGTCTAGATGCTTGATAGACGTTGTTTGCTTTCCACAGAACAACTTTCTAGCTACAAAATAGATATTCACATGAAAAGAGAAAAAACCTACAAATAAGCCCGTGCCAGATTTGCACAATTGCGTGTAGACACTACTTGCCCATTCAATGTAGTTTTCCTTCCACTCATCCCAACCCATCTTTCTCTTAAAATAGGCTGATCAATTATGCCAAGAATCTGGGCGAAATAATAGGTATCAGTTCAAGAAGAAAGTAGAAGTAATCTTGAAATTTGAACTAACTCTTATGCATTTATCCAACTCAGTGTGAAAAAATTCAGTCAAGTAACTGGGACAAAAACTAAATTTTTAAATGGGCACAAATGAGCATGTTTACTCCAATAAAACATCTATTGCATGCAAAAATGGATACAAAAAATAATTTGAACTGATGAGTGCTGAAGTGATGATTGTACCCATTTTCTTCCCTTCTCTAACATGATTTTTAATTTTCATTTCAGAATTCTGTTCCCAAGTGTTGAATAACAGAGAAAAAAAAAAGTTTTTTCTTCAGCACATAATCATATTACATATTCATTTTCATTTAAAATATAAAAAATAATAGAAATAAGCCTGTTTTTATTTTATGCACGTTGTAGCAGATGATTCTTACTGGTTTACCCCGCTGTAGCAGAGCAATGAGAGTACCAAACACAGGTTTTCCTGGGGAAAAAAGTGCAGGTTCACCAAAGTAAAATTTGCAGAACACTTATTTCAAGACAGTAATCTTTCTTTAAAAAAAAATATACAATACCAGTGATAAAGCTCTTTGTTCCATCTATTGGATCTAAAACCCATACATAGTCTGCAGCCTTCTCTTTGCACCTCCACCCATTCTCCTCTCCATAACTGCAATTAGCCCTCCACAATTACTTTAGCAATAGTACAACAAATATAGATATTCATGGTTGTTTAGAAAAATCGAATTTTCTCTTATGTGTTCCATGGGGTTGTGAAGGAAATAGCCGGACAAGGATGGTAAAGAATGGAAATGGTAAATAAGAAGCGTATACTCGTCTATCCTATAAAACTACTTACCATAGCTTAAGCGAAACTTGTCATATTCAATATAAAAACGAAAACATTGGAGCAAAATGTTAAAAACCAGAACAAAATATGAAGGCCCTAAAAACATTTCCTTTTAGCTTATTTTAGGTCTAAAAAATTGTCACATTATGGAATCTAAACAGCTGTAAACCTAAAGACTCGAAATTTACCACTTCAATTCAACTTAAACCCTCCAATTTTTTTGCAACCAAAAGAAATTCTTGGAAAATGATCTATTTACATACAAAACTTACACAGCATGAGAAGGAAAATTCTCTAATAAAATCGAAACCATAGTTTCCTCCGCTGTTTGATCTGCAATTGTCACAGGGCCTGCAGCAAAACAACAAATACGAAAATCAATGACTCAAAATTTCCCATACTGTAGTCCACACCAATCACTAACTCAGTCAGCTTAAACAATTCAATTTTTTCTAAATTATTTTATAAAGCAAAACAGCACAAAACTCAACACTCAAATTGTGATTTTTCTTTTCCTACATTTCCTCAAAAACCAAACAGAGCTATAGCAATTGAATCCAACATTCCTAATTTCTCCAGCTTACCCACATTCCTCTTACTTTCAAATTTAACGTTATTAAAAAACTTCTGTCCACTTCCAAGTTTCTCAACTTTCTCAGCAACCAAACAAAGCATACATGGGCACACTCATTCAAACTTACTGGAATCTTCTTTATCGAGAATGTCAAATTTCTGACGGAAGAATTTCCGAATGACTTCACCAGAGGCATCGGCTACCTTGTTGGCAACCTCAGCGAATCGATCAAGCTCGAAACT